ACCTTTTCACAGACCCCCTTGACCAACTAGCAGAACGACTGCCTGAAGAAATGGTCGAGAGGAACATGAAACCCATCGCTCAGGTTCCAGGGAAGCCTAACAACCCCGAGATTCGTTACGAGATTGCGCAAGATGATATACAAGAGATTGAAGATGGTAAGTCATGTATCAAATTTCACCCGTTATTATTATCCTTCCAACCGCCATGCTCACATCCACAGGAGAATTCAATGAAGTAGTACGAGCACTGGCTACTCCACGACAGCCTTCAATGGGGAATGACAGGCCAAGAGATATGATAGAGACACCACCACAACCCAGTACCCAAGAAACAGGAAGCTTGAATGAAGAGAATGCAACTATCGAATCGCCAATTCTCAGGACTGATCAATCATTCGAAGCATTCCGCGAATCACTTGAGGATATAGCCATACCGGCTTGGTCTCGGATGATGATTTTATGGATTCTTTTTGCCTGCCAGTGGATAAGGATATCTCCACCCCAAAGACGCACTTCCCGATCAAGTGGAGGGAAATACGTAGATATATCTGTAAATTTGTGATAGATAGCGAAAGACGAAATATCCTGTGCATTCCTTTAGTTCAGTATGTTACCTACTGTGTAATTAGGTACCTTAAGGCTTAGGTAGACAAGAAGATTGGGTTTTCGTGGGCTATGGATCTTAGACCGTAGGAAAATAGTTCCTAGTCCTTTACAGCAGTAGTGGCCTGTAATTTGGAACATTCCGGCACGGAGGTAGCCCGGAGGTAACCCGGAGGACGCTAGCTCCACGCCTGGCCACACTGCCACAGGGCACCGTATTGTACAGCGTCATGTTAGTTCACATTAAAATTTGCTACGATTTAGTAAAGTCGACGACTTTTTATCCTCAACTTCTCAATGCCGAACAGTCTAACCTAGTAGCCACAGCTTCTTCCATCACCCGATATCCTCCGTCCTCTCAGCAACTGTGCCTCCTAACATTCCAGTCCCCTGCTCCCAGTGAAATCAATAGAGGTCCTCTTGCGCATGCAATTGCTTGCCTTCTTCATCCTGTTCAGACTCGGCGCTCTGCTAATAGTCGCATCGACATATAGCATCGATTGAGCCTCTTGCCTAATTACTTGATGAACCGGGAACTTTTTGTCGATTCTACTCGAAATTTCCGTGGGAGATTTCGACAAACCTCATCGGCTCATTATATAGCTTCTTAAACCGCCGATCCCCCACCAAGAGAATCTCTTAGCACATCGAGGGTCCATGAGTCCAGCGGCGATAGAGAATCATAGAAGTATGGTATGTCTGAAAGCCCCGAAATTTTCGACTTCAGGTCTTGCTTTAGATCGTCAGTATCGGATATCAGATATTTCGATGCCAGCGTTTTCGAGTAGCCGAAAATATCCCCTTGCATAACGCTTTGTAGGTTACAAAGCTCTTCAAATTCCTTAGCTGTGTTTTCTAACAGCATAATAAGTCTTTTCAAAATCATGGCTTCGATGTCATAGTCGCCGAGTTCTCTTGAGACTCTCAATACCGTCCTGATAGGGCCTACGAGCAAAAGATCTGCATCACCGACCTTCCAACCTGGGTTTTCAACGCGTTCGGGGACGTATTGAGGTAACAGGTATCTTCTCGATGGAAGAAGTATACCTGGCCATGCCTCAAGTTGTTCGGCATAAGAGCGGGCGTTATGAGGGCCTTCAACATCAATAAATTGAACCGTGGCCAGCATCCATTTCAAAAATGGTCGGTTTTTCATACTCCCGCCGTCGTTCTCCATAATCAATCGCACAAGCCGTTGGCATCGCCTTATCATGAATTCAACGTCATTGATAATTGCCGCTAAGGGCCCATCGAGTTTGTAGATTAAATGAGACGCAATAATCTCAAGAAGAGCCAGAGTTGCCGATGTATCGGTGGTCGTGCTCGACCAATCTTCATAAACTTTCCGGACGTTTCCACAGTACTCGGGGATGAATGTATGCTCCAATGTGCTCGATACGCAAAGATCGCGAAAATCCCATATCCGGCCTTCTCCGAGGAGATTCGCGTATAGTTCTGCGTGAAAACTCGAAGGGAATTCGCGAAGGCGCACGTGCAATATAGGTTCGTCTGTGACACTACACAAGCGATAAATCAGACCAAGTACCTTGATCTAGCTACCTGGTCAGCACTCCACGATGTCAGGGGGTCATGTGATGCGCTTACCTCAGTTGAAGTTATATCCTTTCCTTTAGCGATTACCATGGCACGGAACTTGTCCATGATATCTTCAATCGAAGTCATCTCTCTCTCGTCGGCAGTTCCCATAGGGCTCTCTTGACTGATGCTCTCGTGGACAACCACGCGTCTTGTCAAAGGCATACGAGGCCTGTAAGGTTTGTAGTACGTGGTGAATTCCCTTATTAGTTTCCAATACATGGTAAGTAGCAGCCTGTCGTCACTGTTTACGAGGTTATCGCATGCACGGCGCATGGCGTCGTCACCCATCCTAGATAGAGCATCATAGTTGCCTTGTTCTAGCAAATGTTCAGCGTACGCGATAAGAACTTGAGGGTCTTCGATATGTTCGCGCAGGTTTTCTTCGAAGAATTCTTCGGCAGAGGCAAAGTGGCCTAGCCTCTGAAGACGGTAAAACTCTTCCAGGGTTTCGTCAAGATATCCCTGTGGTGATAACATAGGATGGAAGGTAAGGTCGCTGGCATCGCCAAAATCCCAAACGCTATCGGCGCTCATTTTCGAATGGATCGGGGAGGCTATTTAGTCCGTGTATATTTCGGTCCCTTCGTTTTCTTTCCCGGAAGTGGTATTGGGAGGATTGCGACGGCTCGAAGTTTCGCGCTCGCGGCGACTTTTATAATTAGGAGCCATGCGTACAATCTGTCTCCCATTATTATCGTTATTGTCACAAAGAGTCTGATCAGTCATGGTCTGATTGAGACAATGCCTGATAGGAGCCTAGGATTAGGCTTAGCATCACTTCATGGCTTTGCTTTCACTTGGGTTTCTGACATTGCGCTGGATAGGGGTAATAAATCGCATCATATCAAGCGATAGAGTGAACTTCTCGGCTGAAATACCGCGAATACCATTTTCATCGTCAGCTAAGGGTTCTAAAAAGCGAAATCTGCAGGTCAAAAAGCTTTCCGAGGCGAGTCTCGAAACGTTGCCAGATAGTAAGTGATTAAGTAGGTATATGACAAGTACCTGTCATAGATAATTCTACCTGCGTGGCCATGTAAAGACGCTCACCGTCCTTACTCACTCCTTGATCCAGCGAATTTGCCGTTATCTCGGCTTCGTTAGATAACCGTGATGTCGATGCCGGAGTTCAGACACCACTAAAGATAAGGCAGTGATATAGTGGCATTGCGAAGCATTAGGTATTTTGGGAAAAGCAAGATCTGTGACGTGACCAGAGTTACGGTAGGGCGTTCTGATTCCGGATAAGGATTCGGGTGGCGTTGTCTAAGTACCCCTTTTCTCCAGACGCAAGAAAGCCATCCCAGGGACCCAACTATTCACTTAAGTCTTACGTACTGACTCTGCATCATGAAGATGGAGACCTCCGCCACTTAGGACTTAGGCACCGAACATCCGTCATCGAAGGTTCAGGTCCCAAACGAGACGAGTCTTACGAGATCAAGGGACATTCATAGAAGCATTGAATCGCCGGTGGCGGAATTGGCGAGGTTCGTGGCGTTGAACGAAACTCCGAAAAGAAATATGACCAGAGAAGTCAGTGGAAATTCCCAAGCCACCCTATCATCCTTAACTGTTGAGAGCGAAGTCGGTCAACAACCGAGACATGGAAACTTGTCCGAATATGCGTTTTCCATGTCCAAGGCTGCCTCGAAGCAATGATTCGCACATATCACGAGGCAATCGATCCTCAATCCGCGATAATGTTAGTCAGTTCTGGTGATGAGAACAATCACCACTTAGTTTCTCTCGATGAATAAGATGGTAAACATTGTTTAGTGAATGAATGAGTAGGTAGGTACCTACCTGGGTCCTGGGTCCTGGGTCCTGGGTAGATACCAAGAATAAGTCCGGAGTTGTGAACCGGATGTACGACGTAGATGAGGGGGGGTTGTCGCACATTGCGCCACTGGACAGTCCCCATGATCAATCATGGCCAATAGAGAGGATGACTCTATTTTTTTCATAATCAAATTGAAAATATTGCTTCTTTTCAAGAATGAGAGTAAAACCAGAAAACGTTATTGCCCTTTTTGGAATGTGTATTTTCTTCTCATTGGCCTAGACATATCGGTCTAACCCAAAAAGTATTTATAAACTCATAATCAATTACTACCTTCTCACAATGCAGGCTTGCTTTCTAGATATTGAAGGTTAGGAAATTGCGCACCGAAATCTAAGAGGCAGGAGTGCCTTACCGGTACCTTACCGGTACTAGAACTTAGAAACTTCAGGTGTCTAGGACTCTAGAGTCTAGGTACTGATAGTAGCTGTAGGTAGTATGGATCCGATTTCTACCAGGTTAGCCCTGGAAAAGACCCATCCATCCATCCATGGGTGTGTAAACGTTGAATGTTATAGGTATGCTACTATGTAATTGTATGTCGGCACTAAGAGAAAATTCGTCAGTGAGTTTTTCATGCAGTCACTGTGTGCGCCGGTATCCGAAGTTCTCTCCAGAGCTAGCTGGTGATCTATGATCGTCCCTAAAGAAGACCTCAAGGGGCCTCAGAAGAGATCGTCAAAGAGTACCGGATTTGATTATTGATTACAGTAGCATCCTATGAGTTGTAGTGACCTAGAACTTCATTGTGTAGCCACTCCTCCACCTAATAGCTGAATCATAGTTGGAGGCCTTGATGATAGTATGTATGCTCACTATCATACTCTGGTAGATATGAACTAGGCCAAGCTGCTACTAGAAGAAAACGCCCCGAAATACAAAATCACTCAATACACACAACACAATATTCGCCCCATCTAGATTTCGTACGTCGTTCAAAAAAAAAAAAAAAAGAGGGCTCAGCTGGGATTTGAACCCAGGACCACACCTTGTTAAGTCTCTTTATGATAGAGAATGGGAAGAATATTTACCCGACAGGTGGATGATAACCACTACACCACTGAGCCACTAACATCTATGATATCGCTGAGGGCAACCGGGAAAGCCCTCATTTTCATTTCTTACGCACGCGTATGAAAATAGTAGTTATATTCCTCACAAGAGACTGTATAGTGGGAAACAACGAAGCTGTCACAGGGGAAGCACTACCTAACCTTGGAACTAGTTCTAACAGAGCTACTACTAGGTATATATCTAAGGCAATGGCGGTTTCCTCCATTACAAGGCCGATACTCGATCATCGGCCTAAGGGGTAAATGCTGATAGATCCTCCCTAGAGCCACTCAGGCAGCATATGTGCATGTACTACAGCAGTATTTGGGAGGTATCTAGGAGATAAAGGGCTGTGGTTTCCCATTACTCTCCGTACTTTTGTCCCATTAGTACCTACCTAGGACCTAGGTACCTAAGGTACACAGCTGAGATAATCGAAGAAGGTCAAGAAATTCGGCTTATAGACTCAGATCACTCAAAGAATAGTTACTATGGTGATATCGAATCCGCCTTAGAGCCAATCGCCAACCTACTGGCATAGGTAAATTCATATCCATGTTGTGTACAAGAAAGGTATTCGGGAGGCTGATTCGTTTATTGCATAGGCTACTATTGCTGCTGATACTACATTTAGTGCCAATACCAGTGAAAGCATATTCATCAGAAGCCTTCTACACGACAAGCGATGGTTCGCCGGAGTTGGTAGAAGGATCAGAAGTCAGTTTGTAAGGATATTGGAACAGCTCTAACCACTCCAGAGATACCTGTTGGTAGTTAGCCCCGGGAAGAGTAGATAAAAGGTTCCAAGGTTCATGTATGTATACCGCACTCCTTAGTTAGGGGTAGTCTAGGATCATACACCCTGCTCAACAGCGTCGTTGTTCCCTAGTCTCTGAGATCCGCTGTGCGATAGTGTTCATATGGGCCAAATAATAGAATGTTGGGGGATGTGAGGTGAATCGAGTCTTAAGATGGTTATTAAATAAGTTGGGGGATGTTATATACCTCAGCATACCACCATCGTTGGATACGCCTTTTTCGTGGCAAATATCATGACAACTGGAGTCCTGATTCTCACTTTGGTATCCCCCAATGCAGACTCCAGCTCATCCCAGACCCCCTGCATTTCTGTCTCCGGGATAGATGGCACCCAGGTAGAAAGATATCCTTTGAACCACTTGACGTCCTTCGTGTCAAACCACTCCTCGTCATCCTCTACCCAGATCTTCTCCTCACTTTCCTTGACCTTCCTCTCCGCTGTCATATTGTTCATCGCAAAGTCGCTGACGTTCCCCCGAGTATTGATGTATACCCTCTTAACCGTCTCCCATTGCTCTTCGGGGAATTCCAAGTTTTCTAAGGCTGTATTGACCGTCCTGAAAGCTCGTTCGTATACGTCGCCTCGAGCTAGCTCAGAATGTGTAGCCCATACCCCCTTCCAGACTGCTTGCGCTCGTTCGCCTCCTTCGACGAGCGGACGGACGTAATAGGTGATTGCGAGCGTACCACCGGTCTTGAGTTGCCTACCAAATTCCTTGATCGCAGCACCAGGGTTGGTCCATTGAATACATTCGCACGCAGCGATCAGGTCAACCGTTCCGGTCGCAACAGAGCTCTTCTCCGCAGGCTCCTGGAGGAACGTGAATTTTGATTCTGGGAGAGATGCTTCTTCGACAAGGAGTTCCTTGGCAAGCGTAACGTAGCCGTCGTTGGGATCGGAAACAATGACATTATCGAAACGAGCGGCAAGGGTCGACGAGACAATCCCGCAACCAGCACCAACGTCGTGGCCTACGGACCAGGTTGTCCCTTGTTTTTGGGCATGATAGTTGAATATACGCTCGAAGAAGGCTGTCTGATATATAGGACGGTAGGCAAGATAGGTCGACCAGTTGACCCTGGAGAAGCCTATTTCACTGACTGATACGTCTGCGGATGTCATTGTGAGATGATGTGTACAAGATGAAGTAGATATCTGTTATATAGGTAGTATAATCTATAACCTTGAAAGAGCGTGAAAGAATTGATTACATTTCTTACTATATAAGAACAGACTCGGGAGATGTTGCGACGATGTATCTTCGTCAAGCTTGATTACTCTATCGGAAATGACGCGGAAGGCGGGGAACTGGTCGAAAAGTAACTATCATAACTGCGACATCTCACCGGCATATACGTACGGATACGTTCCCTTCTGTGGTTTTTTCGAACGTACCTAGTAGCGAATGACGGCATAACGATAGTACTATCAATTGTCTATGAACTGCATAGTTGAAAGCGCGACAGCCGAAACAATAGGTAGCTCCCAAGGTTAGATATAATTGCTCGGCAGCTGTTTCGCATTTTATAAAGGTACGTGATTACATGGATATAATAAACTTATCGTGCTTTCCCTTATTTCTAGAGAAAAAGTTTAAAGTTTGGAAGTCGTGACAATGAAGAAGGCAAGCACGACGCGGGACGTTAATGAGCTAGCTGGGGCCGTAGCGTGCCGAAAAAGAAGAATGTATCACCATTTGATGAATGGCGACCAAAAAGAATCAAGCCACGAACAACCGGGCAAAAGTTAAGGGCTCAACCGGGATTTGAACCCGGGACCACTCACATTGCCTCATTGATGAGACGGACCAATGTTAGCCCGAAGCGAGTATCCTACCACTAGACCATTGAGCCTTTATATCCGGACGATCACATAGGCGACCATCCCGGGGACAGTGCTCTCCGCACCTTCCCCGCTTGTCGTGACTGCCCGTAATTAGATCCTATGTTCCTTCCTTCTCTTTGTCCATCAGCCTTTCCTATCATGGTTTAGTCCCGCTTTAACTTCGGGTAGGAGCAACCAGGAGAAAATGATTAGGTTCCAAGGTTGAAGTGGCTGAAGCCATATGTGCCGACCTAGGTCAACTCTATTTCCCCTAGGTCAAGCAGGGTACCTAATTCGGTAGGTGTCAACTTCCAAGTTGCATTTCCGTCTCCCATCTCCCATCTCCAATCTCCAACGCGGCTTTCGGTCGAGTTGTCAGCTTAGAATCCATCTAATTCTATCAAAGTTCATCAGGCTTCGTCCCGCTTCATCTATCGCCTTCTCTGTGTTCATGTATTGTTTTGTACTTTGCCAGGTCCCTTGAATCTTGATGATCATCATTCCCGGGCTTGTTCTTCCTACACACGGGGCTTTAAGTGGGAGGAATATCAACTTCCCAATCCATAGCTGATGCTAACAGGGTCCCCGGTCATATTTTTACTCGACGACAAACGACACGCGACGCTTCAATAAACTTATCAACGATGCCTTGCTTGTTTGACTACGCTTGACTCGACTCGATTCTAAGAGATGTTTCTTTCAAGTTTTTTAGGTGCTCCATCAGGCCGGAGAGGTTCTATCATATCGAGCAAGTCAAGATCGTCTAGACGTTCTCCTGAAGTTTCGCCGTCGCGACCTCAAGAGCGACCTCAAGATTCCGATGCCTCCTCTTTCCCTGAATATCTCTCCGACGAGTCGCAGCTTCAGTCTGCGGTCCCGACGCCTCAGGATGTGCTCGATTTGAACAATAACCTCGAGCTGCTCGCCGCCCTGTTCCCCGATGTCCAAGTCGAAGTCTTTCGGGAAATGCTTACATCCTTTTCCGAGGAGTCGCGGCTATTTATCATCACGGATAAGTTGCTGAAGAATCCTGGCTTGTACGTGAAGGGTCGACGGAGAACCAGCGATGGCACCAGTTCCGACTCGAACATCCCGCGAACGGAAGCTTTTAGAACGGTGGAATATAAGAAGGCGGTGCGGGCTCTGGCGATGCAGGAATTCAAAGGCTTATCCAGATCCTCCATCGATGCTGTACTATCAGAGTCGAACTATTCGTACCTTGACGCGCGACCAACCCTTGTCGATATTTCTTCGAAATCATGGAAGTTCACTATATCTTCCTTATTCTTTCGTCGCAAGCCGGTTACGTCTACCGAGGCCGAGACGCACCCGCTTATCATATGGAGAACCTCTGACGACGGATCCTTGATTCCAACTTTAAAGGCAACCGGCAGCGCCGAATTGGATAGAGAACTATTCGAAGAGCTGATTGTCCCGTTAAAACAACGCGAGCAGCTTGCGCGAGAGACCAGCGACCGAGCCTTAGCTATTTCTTTATCGACGGAAGAGGCCGAGGCTATGGAAGCGACCTACGAGTGCAGCTGCTGTTATTCCGACGTCATTTTTGAGGAGCTTACTACCTGTGATGCCGATGGTCATTTGGTCTGCTTCCGATGTGTTCAACATTCGATCACCGAAGCCGTATTTGGGCAGGGCTGGCAACGTAGCATCGACAAAGAGACGGGTGCTCTTCGCTGTCCGGCCGTGGCATCGACGGAGTGCGCTGGTTGCGTATCGTCTGAGCACATTCATCGAGCTCTGCGCGAGGAGAAGAACGGCGAAGAGATTATACGCAAGCTTGATCAACGTTTAGCGGAACATGGTCTCTTGTCCAGCGGCTTACCTCTCATCCGGTGTCCATTCTGCACTTATGCAGAGGTCGATGAACTGTATATACCAGCCACCTCACGCGGACCTAGAATCCGTAAAGGCAGCATTGTCCAGATTGTTGTCCTGTTTGTCTTCCTGTTATTATCGCCACTATATTTCCCTGTTTTAACAGCAGCGCTGGGTCCTACTATGCTCTGCCTAAACGGATCGTTCAGGGGCTACGTATCCCAGCACCTAAGGGCGGCCGTCACCCGGTATCAACGTCGTCGTCGGGGATTGAAATTTACCTGCCAGAACCCGGCTTGCGGCCGATCGTCTTGTCTGTCATGTTCTAAAGCATGGGTGGATATTCACATCTGTCACGAATCTTCTCTTGTTGCCCTCCGTACCCAAGTTGAGCTAGCGATGTCGATGGCAATCAAGCGCGTTTGTCCGCGGTGTAATACGTCATTTGTTAAGACGGCTGGATGCAACAAACTAACATGTCCCTGTGGTTACAAAATGTGTTATGTATGTCGCAAAGACATTGGTCCGCCAACTGAAGGCTATGCCCATTTTTGCCAACATTTTAGACCTGAAGGCGATGGCCGACGATGCAAGGAATGTAATAAGTGCAACCTATGGGAGACTGAGAATACCGAAGAAATCCTTCGAGAAGCTAAAGCAGAGGCCGAGAAGAGGTGGAGAGCATCCGAGAGGCGCGAACTCTCCGACGCCGAGAAAGCATACCTCGAGGACGGCGTAGGCACTATTGGACAGAAAAGCCAAGCAGCTAAAAGCCTAGGGCTATTGCTTCCAGGCGGCAAATTTCCAAGTGTTGAGGAATTTTTTGATTTAATCATAGAGACCTTATTCGTATGACGGGGAAGCATGAAACAGGCATAGAATTTTTTTTTTTTGGATTGCAGAGGGTTTGTTTCATAGAAGAGGTGCATTATCTGGCTACCGGCTGAGCGTTGTCTTGAATTGAAGTCAACTTGAAGGAAAAAAGAAACGCAAAGCGAGCATCATATCAGGATTCAGGCATACAAGAGACCAAGGCGGCGTTGCATCATCGGGAAAGGTTATGGGGTACGTGTTTGGTATACCCGTCGACGGCAGCCTACATTGCAAACGACTCATCGTAAGCGTATTGCCTTACACAAACATTTATCGCGGTAATTTGGTGTATTGCAGTATAGACAAAAATGTTATTAAGATTATCTTCATATCAAAATCAAAGCTTTTATTTTGCACACAGCGTTTGTTTACATCTACGGACGCTTCATGATCGACCGAGATCACTAATCAAAACGGAAGGGCATCGAGACGTAGAGGTATCTATGACCTAGATATCATATATTCATGCATGCTAGATTCAACCGATGAGATGTAAAAGAACCCTATATCAAATTATATATATAAATAATTTTGTAGCAAAGACGCCGAACTCAAATACCCATGCAGAACAAAAGAGAAGTCCACCTGTTACACGACATATCTTCATCATCTCATATCGTGTTGTTGTCGTTTTTTCATTCCGTCCATTCTACCTGCTCCACCTCAATTCGATACACGCCTTCTTCGGTATGTACCTACCTACTTACTAGTTTGGTCGCATATTCATAGCTTTCCCGCTCTTCCGTCTCCGACTAACTCGGCGGCCGCGCCGGAGATAGCCAGCTTGCCCGTCTCCTTGACCTTGGTCTGGAAGATGACCTTGTTGGGGCCCTCCTTCCACATCTCGGTGACGAGGGTCTGGCCCGGGACCACGGTGCCCGCGAACCTGACCTTGATGTTCTTGAACGGGCCGAACTTCTCGTAGACGGCCTTGCCCGCGATGCCCATGAAGCAGAGACCGTGGAGGATGGGGGTCTTGAACCCGCCCATCTTGGCAAAGTTGGGGTCGATGTGAAGGGGGCTAGAGATGCGTTAGCTCAAGAAAGTAATTTAGATGCGGTGAAGTGAGGGGGCTTACTTGTAATCGCCACTAAGCCTATAGACAGCAGCCTGCTCCTCCGTCGTCTTGCTCTCGACGACGATATCAGGCCACCTTCGCGGGGGCTTGTTCGCCGCCGTCGCCACTCCTCGGTCCGCCGGCTTCTTCTGCCCGTCGAAGCCGCCGCAGCCCCTCAGGAACACGGTAGACTCGTTATAGAAGAGCTCCTCGCCGTTCTCGGCATTTACCGTCGTCACGCCGCTCTTGAGGACTGCGGCGTTGCCCCGGTCCACGACCTCGATCAGCTTGGCGTAGTTCTTGGTCTTGGCCGCTGTCGGGATCGGGTACTTCTTGATCTCCAGGTACTGCTCGCCGTGAAGTAGCATCATAGGGGAGAAGTTGGGCACCACTTCGTCGAAGTTGAACGGCATGTTGACGTCGAACGGTGGGATCACGCCGAACGTCGGCAACACCTGGAAGTCTTCGTGGCCTTCGAACACGTAGGAAAGCTCGGTCCTCTTGGCGCCGATACCTAAGTTATAGAGCATGCTGTCACGTTCCGCGTAGCTGAACTCCGTCGGCTGGGACGTAGCAGCCATGGCTTTCTTCTGGGCGTCGAGGTATTTGTTGCCTGACGAAGTCTCCTGAGCAAAAAAATGATGTGTCAATATCAATAGTTCATTCATATGCTAGACTACATGATGATAATACAGATACATGATATTTGAACAATATCCGAACAGAGGGCATCAAGGAAAGTGGAAAGTCCTTCATACCTTAGATGCCGCTCGTTTGTTCTCGACGTTGGCCATGATCTTTCCTACCGAATCCTGGCCCTTCTCCGGGTGGTCCGCTCGTCCGTCGTCGAAGTTGACGATCTGGGCCCAGTTCTTGGCGACTTCCTCAGGAAGTAGCTTGACGTCCACGGGGAAGTCGGCGCCTCCGGTTCGCTGCCATCTCGTCCGACCGCACCAACCGCTGCCTACTTCGTATAGATAGCCGGTGGGGTTTTCGGGGACCTTGTCGCTGCAGAGAGCGAGAACAAGGGGAGCAATGTAATCGGGCTTGAAGGCTTGGACTAGCTCTTCGGGTAATATAGTCCTCGTCATGGCCGTGCCAGCATTTGGTGCGATAGTGTTGCAGTAGATGTTGTATTTGGCGCCCTCGAGAGCAATTGTGCGAGAGAATCCGAGAATTCCAGCTTTCTGCAATGCATTAGTCCCAACTGATCTTTTTAAATATTTTCCACTGTTTCAACTTACGGCGGCGGAATAGTTAGCC